AGCGCCTGGCTCACAACACCTGCCTCCGCCGCCCACCCCCGCGCAATCCAGCCGTGTAGATTTTTGGACAAGTGAGAAATCGAGATTGAATGTTGATACTCTAGCTGCAGCACTTGCCGTAAAATTCAATATGAAGGATATTTCTTGTTCAGATATTTCCAATATATTATTAGAAGATGATACATTGACAAAAAATATTCATTCAATGGAAAAGTACTCATTTAAATAATTAATAGGCATGTAAGCATAATTACAATATAAAATGTTATTGTTACAAATGGTTTTTATTATGCATTTATTATATTATAGTGTATTCTGTATTATTGTTGCAATAAATACAATGTTTCTTTTATTTACAATTTTTTTTCTTCAATTTATTCGTGTCCTCCTTTTTGTTGTAAAAAAGTTGGTCACCTTATATTTATGTTGGATAAAAATGGAAAGGGAAATCATAAGCTCTCTTGCTGAGCTTTTTTATTATATTTGTATAGTTACTGCTCAGATTCCATGTTAAAAAATTGTGTGTTTTAAAAAGGAAACTATTCTTTTTTAAAATTCAGACTATATAGATGGGGATAGATCAAACTGATTTTGAAGCAGAAGGAGAACAAATTTTCTTCGTTCAACTATGTTCCTACAAAAGCTATATTTACCAACTCCATGGGACATTTACACTTGAAAAAAATATTTTGACTGGAATACCTATTTGAGGCATTCAACAAGATGTAATAACTAGCTAAACAATTTGAAAATTAATATGTACTTCTCAATGAGTATCATAATACACTGTAATTTGCTATTCATATTGACTTGGTTAGTTAACTCAGTTGAAAAGATTAAGAGGAAAGCCATGAAAATTCCAGTCAGTCTACTGGTTAGATATCCTGCAGCGTATAAAAGCTTAAGTGTGTATGAATTACTTATGCCATCAAGAACTATATTTTGGCAGAGTCTTTGTGTTAGAACAAGAGACCTTCAGAGATGAATGCTACTTGAATATCCTCTTCTTTGTAGATACAATTTTGCATTGATTTTGCTGTATTGACTTCTGCAAGAAAAATGAAATTCTGAGTTCACCATCACTGAGGATTGCTTCATATAAACTGTATAGTTGATTGGGATTCCCTAGAGGCACGAAGTGAACAGCTACATGTAGGAATGTAAAGATTCTGCCTCATATCTTCCATTATTGCCACTTACAGGTAAAAGTCTTTGTCTCCGTGCTATGACAAATTAATTTTAGCAGAATAAAATGGAAAGGTTCAAGAGCAAACCAGATCAGATATTTTACTGGCTCTTCATAACTCTGGGTAAAATGTGAACATATGTATCTTTGCCCCTTATTATGGAAAAAGTTGAGTTATATTGCTTTTCCATCAAAACTTATTAGAAACTGCTAACTAGATGCAGAAGTACATAAACAGATAGTCTTCTCTTAACAACCATAGTTGAGACTAGCCACTCCATTGCTAAATGACACAATCTTTAAGTCAGACATTATGTGGCCATGACAGACTTAAGACCTCATTTCCAGCTCGTTCATTAAGGAGCTCGCCTGCAGTTGTTAAATAAGATATCATTGGTCATTGATCTAAAACTGCAAGCAGACTGTCCAGCTCTATCCAGAAACTCATTTTTGATCCACTCTGCACATCTTCTGCAACCAGCTAGATATCTCTGTCGCATAACAAGCCCAAAATTCAGAAGGTCCCTATTGTTAGATAGATTCAATGTCCTCCCAATAGCTATATCAAAAAGAGACTTCATCCATGTGGTGGAGGAATAATTGAATGGATAGGACATGCGGGGGGGGGGCTGGATGGTGGCATGGGTTGCCTGGAGCCCTGGGCAGCAGAGGTCAAACGCCCAGCCTGGCCCTCAAGTACCCATGGCACCAAGCCCAGCCCCACTTCCCCAAGGGGGTGCCCAGATGCACTTACCTCCTCAAGGCTGCTGCTGCTGTGCTTGCTCTCGTTAGTCATGTTGCTCATGATGGGTACAAGGGCAAAGTCAGAAGGAGGCCCATTCCCTCTCCATGGGGGGAGACCCAGCTTTGTATCCAAAGCTTCCTTAGCAATAGGATGGGAGACCCCAAGATAGGCCAGGAGGAGGGGGCAAGGGGATGGTGAAAGGACAGCAGGGCAGGACTAAGGCAGACCCTTCCTCTCCTTCCTTCCTTCCTAAGTACAGAGTGGTGGGAAAATGTTAGAGATGAGGGAGAAAAATAGGCAAGAAACGCAGCTGGGGAGATGTCACCCTTCGTGAGGAATGAAGAAATGCACCATTGCTTGGAAGTGGCCAGCACATGGCCCTCACCTACTTAATATATCTGGCTTGGTGGGCTCTGGGGGAGGAGATGCCATGAGCAGCATGAGAGTCAATGTCACCTGCACAATGCCGCCCAGCCCCCGGTTTTGGCAGGCAGCGAAGCACACTCCTCATAGTGCTGAGAGGCTGAGCCAGGTGGCGCAAATCTGAAAAGAAGCGTGATGCCACCCAGCCCCCAGCCTGCCCAGTTTTGGCAGGTAGCAGGGCGCTCTCACAGCACCAAGAGGCTGAGCCGGGTGGCGCGAATCCAAAAACAAGCACGACAATGCCCAACCCCTCAGCCTGCAATCTTTCACGGCAGGCAGTGAGGCACTTTCATCACAGTGCCAAAAGGCTGAGCTGGGAGGTGCGAAGCTTGCCAGCTTTGCACCTTGCTACCTGCTGAAACTGGGCAGACTGAGGGTAGCACGAATCTCATCAGATTCGTGCTACCCAGCTCACTTCTTGGCGCTGTGAGGAGAGTGCCCCGCTGCCTGCCAAAACCGGGCAGGCTGGGGGCTGGGCGTTGTCATGCTTCTTTTGGGATTTGCACCACCTGGCTCAGCCTCTCGGCACTGTGAGGAGAGTGCCCTGCTGCCTGCCAAAACCCCTCCCCCAGAGCCCATCAAACCGGATATGTGAAGTAGGTGAGAGCGATTTGCTGGCCACTTCCAGGCAATGATGCATTTCTTCAATCCTCACAAAGGGTGACACCTCCCCAGCATGCACCCAGGGGGTGGGGCCAATGCGGCAGGGGCTGTTTCCTCACTGTTTCCTGATGGCCTTGTGGAGCTAAGACTGAATACATTTCAGCATAGATGGCCACCACAAAATTGTACATTGGCTCCTGGCTGGCCTGGGCCAGGGCTAAGGCAGCAGGGGCCGTTCCCTCATTATTTCCAGGATGGCTTCGTGGGCCACATGAAACCACTTCGCAGGCCGCATCCGGCCCCCAGGCCTTGTGTTTGACATGTCTGATCTAGAGAGTGAAAAATAACTTTACCAGACTTACAGGCTACTCTGAATCATTTGCAGTTGGAGTGGCCTCTGTGCTTAGATAGAGCGGTGTAATGGCTCAGCAGTTAAGATGCTGGGCTTGTCAGTTGGAAAGCTAGGAGGCCAAGATTGAGACCCAAGCACCACACAATAGGGTGAGCTCCTTTTCTCATCCCAACTCCTGTCAACCCAGCAGTTCGAAAGCATGCAAAAGCGAGTAAATAAATAGGGGCCACTTCAGTGGAAAGGTAACAGAAATGTCTTCAGATAACAATGGCTTTGAGATGGAGATGAGCCCAACCCCTACAGTTGGCAATGACTAGCAGAGTAAAATCCTCAGGGACTCCTCTCTCCTCTTTTATAAGCGTAGATAGACAGATGAGAGAATAAGCAAGTCCACTTGATCATAATTGGAACCTACCTCTCAAACAGGAGTTGTGGATACAGAAGGACCCCCCCCTCCCTCCAATTATATACCACTTTGTCCCAGAACCAAAGATTAAATATCATTGGGTCAGTTGGCTTTTGAATGCAGAGACAATTTGTATTTTTCAGTTTGAATCTGGCTCAGTTGTTCCCCGTACATATCCTCACAGTTTGACAGGATTCCAATTGCACCTTCTATTAGTCCCAGGGTTAGATATGCATTTGTTACATCAAGATCGCGGAAGAAATGGTGACAAAACAAGCACAGCACTAACTATGCTGCTGCTCTGGTACAACCAGGGAAAGGAGCATGTCTTTGTCTGCCATATGATAATCCATCAAACAGCCTTTGAGTTTCTTTAGAATTCTATAGTTTGAGGGCTTTTCAGAGAAAGAAAAGGATTTTGGAAATAGATGCCAATTCTTCATCCTCACCCCAATTCCCTAATACAGTTCGTTTTTCCTCACTAATGGTGGGAATGTAGATATTTACGAAACAGCTCCTTCACTTTCTTTTTTTGTCAAATTTAAAATGGACCCAAATGATCTTATTCAAGAAACCAAAATAAAACCTATTCTCTGCCCTGCTTACTACATTTATTCCTGCAACTTGAGCAGAGAAAATCCTACAAGAAAGTGTTATTCCTCCAAGGTATAAAAAGCAATGCCACACATAAGAGATTTGGGCAATCTCAAGTGAGATGTGATCAGCCTTTATCTTCTCCAAATTTTCTATTTCCAATTCAAGCTCTTGGTTCTTCTGTCAGAAGATTTTTGAAATGGGAATGCTAAGAAAACAAGGGGTGTTTGCAGGGAGAGCTATCACTAAAGCAACAGTAACTTCTTGTCTTCTTTCGCCCAATAACCAAAAATAACAAACAACCCATGCTTGACTTGACCATCTCTCATATTTAAAAAAGAAAAAGAAAAAAAAGAAAAATCTGATTATTTCATTTGAATTCTTTTGTTCAATTAAATCTGACACTGTAATGGTAGGGAAACAGGAGTTGGGGTCTTTTCCAGAGACAGCATAGAACTCCCTCCCCCACCATTAGAACAAGTAATCTGAGCTATGACATTTACTGCCTCTATTAAATAATACTTAAAAAACAGAAATTTGGGATGATATTCCCCTAAACCACCAGCTGCAACATAATTTGATTTGGCAGAGGGCTCACTGCTATTTTTAGGATTTGCATTTCCCCTTAGGCTTCAGAACTCTTTTGCTTATCAGCTAAATTTCTCATTTAGATTTGACAAATAGATTTGAGAAACACATGGAAGATTATTCTGAAAGCCAGCTGATGGAATATAAATCTTTTGTATTTGTATACATAGCTATCTCTCTGGATACACATTATTGTCTTGCTAATACAAGGAAAAAGTGTAAGGCAAGCTTTAAAACTGATCTGCTTTGTGACAAAGTAATAGTTTTTGGAGAGCAGATATCTTCTTTTCCTTCACATTTTGGTTTCAGTTGTATAAGGTTTATGAGCAAATATAGTCCTGCCTGCATATTAATCAGCCACAGTTGTTAAGAAAACAGGAAGAGGAAAACCATCACAGAAGTCTGTTTCTTTGAGAGAAGCTCTGTCCTCACAAAATACATTCCTTGTGCTGAGTGATCAAAATTACTGGTAAGACTCAATTTCTTTACTTAGCATGGGAGTTGTCTCCTGATTTGTTGATGGGTTTTTGCTATGATTTGGTTTGGCATAAAGATGCAGTAATGTGAAAAGCTTTATCAGTTGTCCTCTAGCAGATTTTATAGAAAGTTATAGGGCTTTTGCCTGAAACCCCACCCCCACCACTACTTTTTTCTATTTGATGTAGTGGGCTGGATTTGTATTGTTGAATAACTTCATTAGGCTGACAATTTATCCTTGAAAGTAAGTTCTGCAGCATGGAATGTTGGTTTTCAGGATTCATAGATTGTTTGTTATTCAGATTCAGGGTTAGGAAAGATAAAAAGCACTGAAATTGTATGGTATAGTAAACATGGATTCTAGACAACTTGCAACAGATTCTAATGATTTTCAACTCCCAGTAGCTCAAGGAAGTTTGGTGGATGACAAAAGACCAGCAATATCTGAAGTGTTTTAAGTTGCCACTCCAAATAAATAGGAAGATGAGTAGCGTTTTTATCCTCAGCAATCAGTAAAGAATACAGATCTCTCAAATCCAACTTTTCCCAACAATGAATTATATTGTTCTAGTGAAGTACAAGTAGCTGTATTATGTGCTTTTATGGCTCCTTTCCAACTTGTGCTCAGTTTTGATTTCACTGTAACTCTGGTATAATATATGCTTCTTGTGGGACACAGAGTAAAATTCTGTTGAACTATTCCTAACCAATAGCTCATTTTGTCAATCAGTCAATTAACTTCGGTTATCAAAATAAAACTATAGGTGTCTTTCATAAAGTTGAGATTTCATTCCTTGTTTATCTGTCCAATGTGTGCTGCACAATTATTGGATAGGCCTTGGAACTCTTTTATCTTATGATTCTTTATATGTAAACTAGATTTGGACTGGACCAGCCCTGCCCCCCATGCCCCCCATTCCTATAGAGAATTTAGCTTTGGAAAGTAAAAGAATGACTTTATGATAAAGGAGAACATCATTCTGTGGCAGCATGAAGACTGTATCTTGAACCATTCAAACATGGCTTAGAATACAACAGGTTTGTATGGGCTGTATTAAAATTTGAATTAGTGTGCAGTCCAGAAGCTAGGATATATTATTAATATGAAGTATGGATAATATTATTATTTAATTAAATATATGATCAACTTCATTACCTATCATATTAAATAAACTCTGAGGATATCTTGGAGAACACATCTAAAGATTTGAGAAAGTACAGTTTTATATCTTGTCATATAGGTTTAGAAATTTAAGTTGGGGGTGTTAATTTAAACTAATGGAATCAGTTTGGCATTTTCTAGCCCGCTGTCAGAATGAAAGGTTTTTTTAGCCATTTTTTTCTGTTATCATCGCTGCTGTAAAGACTTGACTTTGAGAGTTACAACAACAAAGAATGTTTGGATGGTTTTTCTATTTTCTAGTAATTGTTTTGGGGTTTTAAAATCACTATTAAATTATTGAAATACATCTATCCTAATGGGAAATTTGCAGGTTAAAAAGGATGTTCCCATTGCATGAATGATAAAAATACTCAGGTGGTTACATACTGAAAAAGAAAAAAAGCATTAAATAGTTTCACTCAGAATATTTTTTCTTCAGATACAGCTTTTTATTACTGTCAAGAGCTACCTCCATCAAATGATTCAAAGTTGGACAGGAATAAATAAGCAATTATTTCAACCAGGTCACTAGACAATGTTAAACAACAAGCTTGTGAATCAAGTCAAGTGATTTTCCCCTTCTTATTTTAAATCCATTTTAAGGTTTGGAAGGGAAGGTGATTGTGTCAATTTTAATACAAAAGATGCTTGTGTGGTTTAAAATTTATTTCATACTTAAACATTTTTTTTTAATGGAAGGAAGACAAGGCCCTTCTCTAGTTTCATTTTCTGAATTAGCCATCCCATGTTTATCCATGGTTGTCCTCCCATGGTTGTCCTCTCTTCTGCAGTATTTGGCTGGCTCCTAACAAACTTTGCAAAAGATTATTTCAAGCAGTCAACCTTATTTATGACGGTTTATAAGAGTCCATATATTGAGTTAACAGTTTGAGCCATAAGCAAACATTGTCTAGAGAGGAAATCTGTCACATTTCCCCCCTTTAAATTTATTACATCTTCCTCCTGTGCAAAGAGGGCTGCTGCTGAGTTCCAAGAAGGGGAGCAATTCTCCGAGAAGGAGGACAATTCTACATGCTGTTTGCTTTCCAGTTCGGTTTGTAAGTCCCATTCCAATGAGTCACATAAATTAAATTTATCTGATAAGGCGACTGCAGATGAATTACTTACTGGAACAGACTGTTTGCAGTGTAATCTTCCATTTTCTGCTGCTTCAGTGGCTTGGATGAACTCTCTGCTGTAGAGTGCTGTCTCTTTCTCCTTTTCCCCATTCTTAGTAATCCTGGCTTGTAGAATTGTTAAAATGTAGGTAAAAAAATGGTGGCCTCTCCAGTAGTTAAAAAAAGTTAAAAGTAAGTTAAAATAGGTTAAAAGTGTGTAGATTAAAAATGCAATGTTAAAAAGGTTTAAAAAGTTAAAATAAAAGTAAAAGAAAATAAAAGAAGGCTTTTGCTTTTGGAGGAGCTTCTTACAGCCTTTGCTGCCTGTCCCATCAAAGTTGTTTTGTAGAAAAGGAAATTTATGAGAATTCACTGTCTGCATTTTTCAAATAAAGTTTCTCTGGATGTGTTTTTCCCAGCTAGGTCTATATTGTTCTCTACACATGAAACTGAGCTATCAAAAATTTCAGTAATGATGAAGTCAGTGGAAGAGCTGAACTCCGCAATCTGGACAGCAACTAGGAAAGTCTGTTCTAGATATTTTGACCGGCAATTCCCATTGACCTTACTTTGGTCATGTAGCTGAATATAATGATATGGTCCAAATATCTTCATATCCTCTGCCCTAAGAATCTCAGTTATTTCTTATTCCTGATTTTGTTTCTAATCCTTTGTAATTTTTCATCTTTATTCTTTCAGAAAGAATATGTATTGGAAGAAAGTTCCTTCCTTAACTTTCGTGCTTCTTCTCATGCTTTTGACGAATGGCAGTTCCTTTTCACACGATGAACTGAAACTGTTTCGATCTAAACACTACCACAGATTCAGCTGTATAGGTATGTCTTCAACAGGGCTACCAGATTTGTGCTGCAAAAATCCAGATGACACAGAGATAGCAAACAGGAATATTGAGTACTAAATCCCACATAATGTAGTTCAAATGTTCCAGGATGAAATGCATAGAATTGGTGTATTGTTTTGTTTTCTGCTTCTTTTATTGGTGATTGTGTTTAGATAGTAGTAGTAGTAGTAGTAGTAGTAGTAGTAGTAGTAGTAGTAGTAGTGATGATCATCATGATAAAAACTCAGTTTTTTTCTCATAAATAATGTTTGTGTCCATATATTACACATAGCTGTCCTTTGTGAATGTGACTTCACAATTTTGAACTTAAATGGGATTACATCATCTGTTTGGATGCCAATGGATACATTGGTTGCCATGGTAGGTTTATCCAATACTGGTAGATGTACCATAATACTGGTAGGTATACCACAACACTGTTCAAAATCCAAATGGTCATTAAAGGATACAGAGATATACAGAAAATTCTTTTTCAGCTCAGTTAATATATGACAAAGCAACCATTTCTATATCATCCCTCCTAGATCTGCAAAAAAGTTGTTTTTTTCTCATTTAGTTTTTTTTCTGGGCAGAAGAAAACACTAGGATGAGGCAACCACCATTTTTATTTTCTAGGAAATTATTTTAGATCTATTAAGTCAGTGAGGGATAGAGAAACATTCTTGGAAATGAATAAGTAATATATAAGATTACTGCTTTGTTTTATAGCATGCTACTATACATGCACAGATTTATAGATGACATCTGGCTATTCCTTTTTAGAAGAAATTATGTAGATTTTTGAAAAGAAGAGACAAATCATAGGATAATATAAGCAAAAAAATATGCAAATGGTTTTTCACCATACCTCTTCACAGCATACTGGCATCTAATTTAATTGGTTTTTAATTAAAATATTTAAAATAAAATCTATACAAGTATAAATATTGACAAGATCACGAAGTGTTAGATACATTGGTATTTGCCAAGAATCATACTGGGTATCCAAGGGCTACTACATGAAATGCATATTGAATCTAAAAACAACAATATATCTTGAAATGTCTTAGTATATTGACCCTTCATCTGAGAAAATTGTTGCTTGTTATATTGGATCTTTTTGCTCTTACTTTATAATGCACAGAAAAAAATATTAGAACTTCAGCAAAATAACAATCAAATACATGTATTTTTAACTTGATGTAACCTTTCACATTTACAAAAGTGGTCCTTTCATGAAATAACTTCTCACCAGATTGTTCAAAAAGGGACTTCTACATAATGTGAAAGTTCTTTCTGTCAAAATAAAGCTGTAGGTACACAGATTGTAGATATATGATAGACAGACAGACAGACAGACAGACAGACAGACAGACAGACAGACAGATAGATAGATAGATAGATATAACCTTTATTGTCATTTTTTATTGTGGGCACAACGGCACGCATTAAAAATGAAATTTAGTTGCTTGTTCTCAAAATATACACATACATAACACACATTTAAACATACTATATAAAACATATGTATAGACCTACACCCTTACATATAAGTAACATATAAATATTAATCACTGCTCATCTTGAATAAATAACAGAAGGAGGAAGCTTTAGAGTTCACAAGGTTAATTATGAAGATTTTTTAAGTATATATAAATATCTCAGTTTTATATATAAGCAAATATAGAAGAAACCTTTTTCTCAGCTTTGAGCTTTGTAGTATACATTTAATTGATGTGTTTTGATACCCAGAATATCTAGAAATTCATTTTTCCTGAAATTGTCCCCTCATTTTTCACTAAACATTTGTATAGTAATGGCACTGTACTGTTTCTTATGCTAAAAGCTTGTTTTTTCAGACACATATTTTAACCACAAAATTTAATTAATAAGGAGCAATTTAATAAAGACCAATCATTGGCACTGATTTAAGAGTAATAGTATTTTTCAGAAAAAGTTTTTTGTTTGTAATTAAGCTAATTTTATTGTTCTCTATAGCATAATAATTTCCATGTAAAAGAATATCCATCTTTCTGTAACAAAAAATGTTATAGTGAATGTAAAGGTCTGCCTGTTGGCTGGTACCCCAAGTATAATCATAACCTTGATTTGCATAATTAAATTCTCTCAGATGCATCTACCACAATTTGTTTTAATATATTTTTTTAAAAAAAATGTGTTCAAATAAATATAGCAGGGATTTGGAGTTGCACTGCCCTTAATCATATTATCGCCAATCTTTAAGTATTATGGACTAGATTTTCTCTCATTTGCTTCAAAACTGGGGATAAGAAATCAGGATAAGTTCAGTAAAAAACTTAAAAATAAAATCTACAGACACTTATCAACAATAGCTGAACTTTGTTCCATCCCTGATATCTTTTGTCTAGATTAAGAACTCATAGCTGCTATTTTTCCATTTCTACAGGATTATGAAATTATTCTTAAGTGCCGTTTGATATTTTCAAAGGACAGCTAGAAACCTGATGAAATAATAAAGTTTCTTTCCTCAACCAGTATTTCTCAATACACTGTCAAACTTCCTTTTGTAATTTGGTAAAAACTAATTAAATAGTGGAAATTTTTTTAATCTGTCTATTGAAATACAATATAATTTTTTCTAATGAATGGCCAAGTATTTTCATCTTAAAAAAAGAAACCAAAACAAAGAATTCTCTCAATATCTTACTGAGTGTACTTAAACAAGCCAACATTTTTGTATTGACACTTGAGGTTCTCAAAGACAACCTGCTGCTGATTTTTTCTCACTTTTCCCAGAATTTCAATCTCACATAAACTGACCTGGTAAAATGAGGTTCCAGAGATATTACTTTGTCCTGAAGAATCTTATTAGCCTTTAATAAATAAATTGTGTCAGGATCCATTGACTTTCTATGATCTTCCAAGTGAGATTGTCTATTCCTAGCCATTTCTACTATGCACCTGTTATAGTGAATTTAAAGATCTGCATGGTTCTTATTTTCTCTCTCATTTAAAAAGAGATATACAGGAAATCAATTCAAAATATGCATAACAATGTTAGATACAATCAATTAATACAAACCTAAATATTACACCAAAATATTACAACCAGCTAGACAAACAACAACCACATTTCTTAATATAATACCTAAATTAAATATAGAATCTGTAAATAGTAAAATATAGATATCAACATATTATCGATCGAGATGAGTTTCTGCAATTTTGCCCAGGATCAGCACAGTTTTTTCCACCACCTCTCAGAACAAAATAATTATGTTTAAATCTTTCTTCAATTTGTTTACATTAGCTGTTTTCTCAAGATTATTAAGGAGGATAACTCCAAACCCAAAGGGCCATTTCCTGAAAAGTCCTTAGTTGAGAAATGCATTTTAATGTTGCATGAATTATGCAAGGAACTATATACAGTGGTATGCTGGTACTCAATTGCTTTGAAAACATTTTGATGTGAACGTTTTGTCCCAGTACTCATAGTTTGTTTGGCACTCAACACACAAGAAGAACTTGTCAGTATCAGCTGCCTTTTCACTTGCTATTCCTTATAGAAAAAAAATGGTTTGGTACTCATCATTTTTGGTACTCATCCCACCTCCCAGAACTAATTAAGGATGAGTACCAAGGTACCCCTTTATGGATTACTGCCTTGTCGTGGCGAAGGGGCTTGCGTAACTCAATGAAGCTATAAGCTATGCCGTGCAGGGCCACCCAAGACGGACAGGTTATAGCAGAGAGTTCTGACAAAATGTGATCCACTGGAGAAGGAAATGGCAAACCACTCCAGTATCTTTGCCATGAAAACCCCATGGACAGTACTAAAATGAAAAAAGATATGACACTGGAAGATGAGCCCCTCAGGTCGGAAGGTGTCCAATATGCTACTGGGGAAGAGCAGAGGGCTAGTACTAGTAGCGCCAGAAAGAATGAAGCGACAGGGCCAAAGCCGAAAGGACGCTCAGCTGTGGATATATCTGGTGGTGAAAGGAAAGTCCGATGCTGTAAAGATTTTTTCTCCATAGGAACCTGGAATGTAAGATCCATGAATCAAGGCAAGCTAGACATAGTCAAAAAAGAGATGACAAGACTGAACATCGACATCTTAGGAATCAGCGAACTAAAATGGACAGGAATGGGTGAATTTAACTCAGATGACCATCAGGTATACTACTGTGGGCAAGAATCCCTCAGAAGAAATGGAGTAGCCTTCATAGTCAATAAAAGAATAGGAAAAGCAATACTGGGATACAATCCCCAAAATGACAGAATGATCTCAATTCGAATCCAAGGCAAACCATTCAATATCACAGTAGTCCAAATCTATGCCCCAACCACTGGTGCTGAAGAGGATGAAATTGACCGGTTCTATGAAGCCCTACAGCACCTTATAGAATTAACACCAAAAAATGATGTCCTTATCATCATGGGGGATTGGAATGCTAAGGTAGGAAGCCAAAAGATAACCGGAATAACAGGCAAGTTTGGCCTTGGAGTACAAAATGAAGCAGGGCACAGGCTAATAGAATTCTGTCAAGAGAATACGATGGTCATAACAAACACTCTTTTCCAACAACCCAAGAGACGGCTCTACAAATGGACATCACCAGATGGTCAACATAGAAATCAGATTGACTATGTGCTCTGCAACCAAAGATGGAGAAGCTCTATACAGTCAGTAAAAACAAGACCAGGAGCTGACTGTGGCTCAGATCATGAGCTTCTTGTTGCAAAATTTAGGCTTAAATTGAAAAAAGTAGGGAAAAGCACTAGGCCACTCAGGTATGAACTAAATCATATTCCTGATGAATATACAGTAGAGGTGACAAATAGATTTAAGGAATTAGATCTGATAGACAGAGTGCCTGAAGAACTATGGATGGAAGTTCGCAACATTGTACAAGAGGTAGCAACTAAAACCATCCCAAAGAAAAAGAAATGCAAGAAAGCAAAATGGCTGTCTGAGGAAGCTTTGCAAATAGCTGAGGAAAGAAGGGAAGC